TCTAGATACATACGTAAGTACAAGAGTATTCAAGACAGCGCCGAGGAACGATGTTTAGCATGTAGATGAAGATCTCGGTAATCAAGGGTTGCAGCCCCGCGGGCGCACTTCGTCAAGTCTTACTTATTTCTGCCCGATCCGCGATCCGTCAGCCGCCTTGCCCACCCCTCCCTCCTTCTTCCAACCCCTCAACATCCTGCGACTTCACGCTGATTACCATTTTTGGTCTTTTGGTTTAACCACTTTGTGCTGGATAACCTTTCTCAACCAATTGTTTCCAACTTTAACAACTTTCGATATTGAAAAAAATTAGAAACCTGAAAAATAGAAATAGGAAGGAATCCAGCTCGGTGAAAGATATCGATTATACTCAGTTCAACTCGCGCCGAACTTTTTCCAAAGAATAAGGAAGATTGAAAAGACGTTTATTCCTTCCAACGATCCAAACGATTAACGAATAATAACATTGTGAATGTATTCGCTCTCATTAAGAAAAATCGTCAAAGATCGTCACTACATAAGCGTCATTCCTTTTGATAAAATGTTTGTGAATATGAATTGGAAAAAAAAAAAGAGAAAAGAAAAGAAAAATATTACACGCGATGTAAAGTTGATAAAAACGAAAATAGGAGTGAGAAGAGACGATAGACGAAAAATAGACGAGATCGTCTCGAGCGAGAAGAATATAAGGAAGGAGGAGGAGAAAATTCAAAGCGGTTCCATTATCGAGTTACCGTTACTTGGCCCCACGATTTATTCAACGCGAGGAGGGTGGTGGAGGGAAGGGTGGAGGCGAGCGGTGGCGGTAACGAAGCCGGGACACCCTCCCCTCCCTCCTCCTCCCCTTCTCGCGAATATCTCGGACCAAAGCCGTATCTCGTTCGAAATGATCGGGTCTCGTTGTCCGAAAATTCACCCCGTAATCGACAGACAAAAAGTAATTTCCTATCGAGAGCGGGACAAAGGGTGATTTTGCATGGGGGAGGCTCGGCTGGCGATAGCCACGGGGGTGGCAGTGACCGGTGCGTGTAACGACCACCACCCACCCCCAACCCTTTCGTTTCCCGCTTGCCAAGCCGAACGAACGTTTACGGTGAACGCCACGTGCGCTCTATGCGTGCTCAACCAACTTGCTCTATGCACCGCCACTACGTGTTCGATCCAACTGGTATGTGGGGCTCTGGGGCATTTTTCGCTCCCGTTTTTCCATCGTAAATAACCATCGTACGAAACTTGTTTAATCGCGTATAAACGCGATGATCAAATTTTCCCCAAGGAGAAGCAAACGACGAGATCGATTTATTACGATTCATAGATTTTGACTCGGACGATCGGTTTGAAACTTCGTCTGTCAATCTCGTGATCAAATTTTGGAAAAGTCATCAAAGTGAAATACAAATCGGGAAAGAAATACTTGACTTGCGACTCAAATAGTATTAAATGGAATTTTGAAATTCGAAGTCATTTAACGATCGTTTGAACGTTTATCTATTGATCTCGCGATCAAATTTTGCAAAAGAAGACTCGACTCATCGTATGGACAATTTCTTCGATTCGATCCTTCGTACGATTATTATCCAAGGGATGCGAATATAAATCGAGAATACTGGAGTAGAGACTGCGGATTAATAAATACGATCGACACACGGGTAACTCGACTCGATTCGAAAGGAGCACAAAGGATATCCCCTCTCCCGTCCCGGTAATTTACAATCGAGCCTGTTTCCCTCGACGAGAAAACAAAACAAAATCGCACTTGGCCGGGAATCGAAGAGAAGAGGAAACGACTCTTGCGATCGCGAAAACAATAAACCCAATAGGAGAGAAAGATGGTGGACAGGGGACGAGATTTACGAGACCGCGGCCGATCTCCAAGAAGACAGAGCTCGTCCAAGAAAAATTGGCCTCCTCGATGACACGGTTTGAATTTACCGGCAATCGGTAATGCGGCTCGACTCTGCAGCGCGATAAATCGGTACGGCCAACAAACGTTCCACCGTTGTATTCTCTCTCTCTCTCTCTCTCTCTCTCTCTCTCTCTCTCTCTCTCTCTCTCTCTCTCTCTCTCTCTCTCTCTCTCTCTCCCTCGTTCCTGGATGGATGGATGGGGGAAAGAGAGGGATGGAAAGAAGAATGGCGCGGGCGAGGGACGAGGAGAGAAAAGTCGGGCGTTGGAGAGGGGGGCGAAAGAGAGGGGGGAGGAGGAAGGGTGCAGCACAGACTATAACCGACGGTCACCGCACGCTATTCTTCATACTCCATTATCCGTGCTCCGCTCCGCTCTGCTCCATTATGCCGGCACCGCGCATAAACGACGAGCTGCCACCACCCTTGCTGCAACGCTCACCTTCGCGAACACACCGATAAACATCGCTCTTCCGTCGCCGATTTACGCGGCATTTATCCCGCTCTTTTTTTTTTAATCCACGAGATAGGAAGTGGAAGTGGAGTGCGCTTTCGCTCACCACGTGGATCTGGACGTAAGATGGACGAAGATAGAGGGGAATATCTTTGGAGAAGCGTGTGTCTCTTATCCAGCCAGAAGAAAAAAAAGAAGAAAAGTAAAATTATCTCAAGATCATGTTATAATTAAAATTGGCGAACTTTTTGTCCCGGTTTTTTTCTTTCTTTTTTTCTTGAAGCCAGAGATATATTCATAATCCACGAACGAGTTAATTAAGGAGGATGGCCGATCGAGAAGGAACCGAACCGCTGAAACATTAAATTCGAAACGCGTATTCGTTAGCATGGAGGCAGCTCGGGAGAGAAGGCAAAACCAACCCGGGGGAATCTTCTCCCGGGGACTACGTTTAATTAAATCTTTTGCGAATTTACATACATACACGCACAGCATCCGCCGAGCAGATCCTTTGCAACTGTCGGCTTTGGGGAAGGCTTTGTAGAGATTCGTATCGTTACCTGTGCCACCCTTTGCATCAGGGACGCCCGTCATTAACCCAGACCTCGGATCTTACGTACTTTTTTCTTTTTTTTTTTTTGTATACCATGTCGAACAACATCGTCGCCCATCGAGGATTGCCCAGTTAAACCAGCTTTCGGACGTGTAATGGACAACGGAAATGGAGAGAGAGGACGATTTTTTAATTAGCTCCCTTCGTATCGTTGATGTATTCGGGATCGAGTGAGTTGGAATGGAAATCTGGAAGAAAAAGAATCCGGAAAAGGAGATTGTAATATTCGTAATATTTGTAATATCTAATATTAGAATTTGATTAAATATCGATCGAAAAAAAAAAAGAGGGATTAAGACAACAAGATTTGGAAGAAAAAGGAAGAATATGCAGAGGGAAAAATGACGCACGTCGTCAGTCATATTTTGAAATACATTTTTATTTCGACTCGGTCAAAAACTACGATAACAATAGGTCGGTAGATATGTATATCTGAAATCATCGTTCTTTCGAGTGGAAGGGGCAGAATGTAGACGTCGTTAGTTCGAAGAAAAAAACGAATAAATCGTCATCGACGATCTCAATCGATCGATCAACATCGCGACGCCAATATCCGTTCGAAGATTGTGGCG